AGGACAATGTTGTAGTACTTGGTGAGTATAATTATAGCAACACAGGCAATGTTTACATGCATCTCTGATGGCACCGTTGTCCCCAGGTTTGACAAGAAATGTTTGTATCTTGTGCATCTGTTAACTTTTATAGGTGATGGTCGTATGGACAGTCCTGGGTTTTGTGCTCAGTACTGCACCTACTGGAGAATGACACCAAAGAAATTTTATCAATAGTCAACATTGACAAGCGAGAGACGCAGAGGAATTCTGTGATTATGAAGAAGTAAGGCTTTATCAGGAGTTTTGACCAGCTCTACCATGAGTTTAAACTTGCAGAGAGTGTCTGCAGCCCGAGTATGTTCCTGTCGCTGGAACAGTGGGTGGACATCGCACAGGACTTCTGCCTAATGTGTTGGTGCCATAGATGGAAAGCATGTTCAGACGAGGGCCCCATCAAAAGCCGGAAGTGATTTTTTCAATTACAAAGGCACACATTCAGTTGTGTTAAAAGCGGCATACGATGCCGGTCTCACTGAGGCACACCACTATTTTACAATGGTGGACTTTGGAGCCTATGGCCGTGAAAGCGATGGTGGCATCTTTAAAAATAGTGAGTTTGATGTTATTATTTCCCAAAAATAAAGGCAAACAAAAACTAATAGCAAAGTTACAATATAAAGCGCAGTTTCAATCAAAGGTGTAATCAGCTGGGTTTCTTGCGTCGAGAGATAACACTCAATCAGCATTAAATTTTTCTTAAAAGCATTTTTTATCTAATACTTAAATGCTCTCTACTCTAAGCTACTTAACCCTCTGGGGACCAAGAACGCACCCGTGCGTTTTGGCAGATTTTTTTCACATAGCAGAAAAATAGACTTAAACTACTCCATCATTTCTGGTCATACAGAGTTATGAAACATATTAAAAAAACTGTTTAATGTCTACTTTTTTATGTGCCCACCTACAATCGAAATAAAATATTGTGCTTTTGTAAAATAAAGAAAATAAACAGGGTGTGCGTTCTGCCTCTCCGCGTCCTTTTTTTCTGGAGCACGTCTCTAAACTTAAAAAAAACTCAGCTAATACTATTCACCCAGACATGAGCAGTATATGTGTATGATCATTTAAGTTTGTACTTTTAAATTATCTAATTTAAAACTAAAATAAATATTCCCTGTTTATGTAATCTATATAAAAAGAGAGATGTGTCAGCCATTCTCATTATCGTTTTCGCATCTAATTATTGCGCTAATGTGACACGCCCACGGAGAGCGCGCGCTATTCAAACGACGTGTAAACGCCCACACAAACTCTGTGAACACACTATATTTAGTCAGATTAATGTACTGTCGTCTTGCGCGGCTGTGAGGAATAATCCTGGGACATTTACCTACCTCAGAACAAGTGCTGGTTTATTTTCACTTCGAGGAGCGAGCTGAACTGTAAGTGTTTTTATTTTTGTGCTTTGTTCTACGATATATAATAACGTTAGTGTCTGTAAACGCAAAAATAGCCTACTGTTTAAATTTGAATCATGTTTCTGTGTGTGTGTGTGTGTGTGTGTGTTTGACTAGTTTAGGATTATAAAGTTTTAACTCTAAAATAGACATCAAATAAGCTTTTGTTAGCATTTTCTGCACATATGTTAAATATATAGTATGTTTTGTCAAAAATAAACTTATCAACTGTTATAGTGTTTGTTCCAGCTAGGCTATATCAAAATAATGAATCCTTAACTTTGAAATATGTATAATAAAAAATGTATTGGCATACTTTAAAAAATAATACTTTATAAGAGATTTATGGAAAAAGACAATTTTCTTTTCAAGATGTTTCCAACTCTAACTTTGAACCAATTCTATTGAATGGCCCATACAACCTATTTGAACAGGATTTGTTTCCATGTATGACTAAAAATGTGCTTTTGACTTTCATTTATATTTTGATTATATATATATATATATATATATATATATATATATATATATATATGTCTGTGTGTGTGTATATATGTATATATATTTTTTCCTTGCATTATTTCTTGTGACACACCTGAATGAAATTAATGCATCTTTGTCTTCTCAGGTGAGAATCACCTAATTATTCATGAGGGGGTTGGGCCGTTCACGCCCATTCGCATATTGCCTTTCAAACAAAAAAATGTTTTTCACAATTTAAAGCAATCTATGGTGTTATGTGAATGATTAGAAATGATGATTTTCAGATCATTTTGAAGCAAATACTCTAGGCCACAACTTCCATTAGTCAAAAGTCTTGTGGACACATATTTAGTATGTGTTTTGTGGCCTTATTTCAGAAACTTTAATGCAGGGATTAAAGTTCTCCGTCGCTACGACGGATTTCCGTTAATTGCAGCGAGTCTATGACGGATATCCGTCAATTGCAGGGTTCCCGTCTGTCCTTATGTCTTAAATTAACTTTTCATAATTTTAAGGCCGTAAATAGGCTTTCATTTCGCAAACAGTGTGATAAATGTCTTAATTTTAGTTTGAATAGGTCTTAAATTAAGGAAAGATGATGCGTATTCACCCTGCTGAGGGGGGATGTGATAAAGCCTGGAGTGGAGCAAAAGCACGTTCCTCTCTCCACTCTAAGCATTCTGTAATCACTTTGCTCATGGTCCACTCCGGTTTTTCAATTCCCGCTCACGGAAAAACTGCTCCCTGGACCCTGTTCACTCAATCTTGTCAGGCGAGGCTACAGCTCGTTTGCTGCGGTCCCATGATAGAAAACAGAACGCGGGTCAATATTGGTCGTTTCTCAATACCAAGTATGCAAACTTCGGACTTGCGTCCTTGGTAGTTCGGACTTGCCAAGTTCGACTCAGGAGAACAAACTCCCGAGGACGAGAGGACGCTGCTAACAGCGCGTTCTTGATCGCGTCACTCAGCACGCGGCTACTCCGGTTATCAACTCTGCCTTTTTTCATCAACACCACTGTGCCTCTTTTCTTTTATAAATGAACATAATTATTATCATAAACATATAAATGGCCACACAAATGTGGTTCAGGCAACGCACATTGATTTATCATATAGTTATAACAACACGAAATATAGCTAAAACACAAACCTGCTTCTTTTTGTTTTCATTTTAAAAATATGAAACATTATTTATCATTAAAACTGACATTTAACAAACAGACAGGGTTGTATCGTTTTATTGTATTATGCGTACACATACAGTGAAGAGAATGCATAGTAATATAATATTTTATATATTTTAGAATATATAAAATTACACAACCATGTCTCTTTTTTGTTAAATGTCAGTTTTAATGCTAATATCCCGTTCAAAAGTAGTAGCCTAATTGATAGGCTATAATAAGCTATACAATGAGAAATAAAGCAAACAATTCAATTAAACATAAGTCAGCTCTGTAATAGGCTACAAAGTTAAAGTTAAATATAGCCTACATAATAAAGTTATAAAACTTCACTTTGCCCTCAGCCAAAACAATTTGCCATGGCACAAACTATATATTAATATAGTTTAGCATTGTTTGGTCTCATAAGATAAATAAAAACATGCACTGAAACGTTATGTAGATGGTTGATTATTTGTCAAGATAAGTAATTGTTTTTCATAGACTAAAATAGCTTTTAAATTACTCAATATTAGATCGGTTTTAAACATCTTCCCTTAAAACGCTATTGGTCTCGACTATTTAAATAAAGTTACAGGAATATGACTTGGCCTGAAAAAAATTTCAGTCAGAAGAATTTTTTTCACTTTAATCCCTGTTAATGTTTAGTTTTTTCAATAAACATGCAAACAATATTCTCTCAAAAATACAAACATGTTCATACATGTTGCTCACATATTATGGTTGCCCTGTTTGTGCTAAATAGTGTAATTTCACCATTACACTATGGTGTCATATGGGATTGTTTAGTGATTATTTATTGAGACTCTGTGGCATTAGAGTACTGTTTGAATCTTTCATTTTCATTTTGTATAAAATAAAAAAATTCAGTTCACGTCTCCGTTCACCCTGCCTTTGGCAACGAACCTGTGTGCCCTTGTGTAGGGCTGTTATTTCCTGGTGGCATAGTGTATTTACTACAGGATCTTTGGTCCTTTGTGTATTTTCTAACTTCCCTACCTGACCATCTGCCACATAAAGTCTAATCATAATATTTATGTCAGTAAGTCTCAAGCGATGTCAGTAAATATGTTAATGGTTTTGTAGTATACCAAGTATGAAATACATGTATTTTAAATACATTTTTGTATAGGTTGTTTTCTCTAGGGAACCAAATAAAATGTTGAGGATGAACTGAAAGATCTAGTTTGTTTCTTCTAACAGATGCTGTAAAGGCAGAATATCCAAACACAACTTTTGCCTACAGTGCAAATATAACTGAGCAATATGCTAATAAAACAATTTAAAATATTTACGTACTACTTCAGTAATTTATTTGTTTAATCCTCTTTTGATTTATCTTGTAAATGTACAATGAACTTTGAGTATAAGAATAGTATAGATAAAAGTTCAGGAAATGTTTTGAGTTGCAATATATATATATATATATATATATATATATGACCTTTACCTTTTCAATAATTTAACCACACTTTGAATATCAGGTGTTGTTTAATTCAATTCAAATGTATTTCTAAAGCACTTTTCACAATTTTGCATGGTTGCAAAAATTACAAAAGTAAAGATATGTAATTATGACAAATAAAGAAAACAACATATAGTCAGTTTAAAATGGTGAAAGAAATTCACATACACACTAGCACAAACAAGTATATTAAATACAACTTAAGTTAAACTTAAATGCAATGCACTTAAATACAACTAAAATGCATTTAGTACAAAATTAATTGTTCCAATTTAACAGACTTTAAGTAAACCAATTTATAGTGGGACACAAATACATTTAGTTATACCAAAGTACATACGAATAAATTGTGCTTAAGTATAATTTTTTTTTTTTCAGATTTAGTCAATGATAAGATGTAAAAAGAGAGTGAAAGAGAGTGTTTGGTTTTATATTTTCTTTGCAAAATTTTAGAGCAACAAAAGAAAAAAAAGATCCTGGAAGCACTGACAATTTCAGAGGTTGTCTGTTTTCAGTATTTATCGGGAAGGCCTTCGGGTCTGTAGTGGTTGGGGTCTCCACTGTTACGACCCCAGCGATTGGCCTCCTGGTCAGCTTCAGAATCAGAGTTGCCACTGTTACTATAACCCTGAACAGCCTCTCTTGCATCACTGCACACATCATTAACATATTATGATTAGAAATTCCCCAAAATCATTTAAACATCCATTTTAATAGCACAATGAGCTGCTGTTTCATTGTAGAGTGTGAGGGAGAAGTCATTCGTGCTCAATTTAAGTGCTTAAATAGAGTAATAGAATCTGCCACGATTTTGTACGTACCTGATTATTTCGGCTGCCCACTTGCCTCCTGGACCCCTTTTTGCAGCATCAGAGTTCCCACGTGAATGGAAATACTTGTCTGAGTTCTTCCAGTTGGCATCCTTCATATCCTGGTAGGCGTCCCACATTTCCTTTGCACCTGCAAGAAACGCTGAGTTAGTTAAAAAATGCCAACAATTTGACTCAACTTAGTGCATTTCTCAAGTTAAATGGAGGTAAAAAGGAAAAATAAGTGACCTCCAATGGCTTCTCCTGGGAAGTTGTACCACTGCGCCTTGGTCTCAACCACCAAAACCAGCACAGCAAGAATAAGCTTCATGATTACAGAGCTGAACACAAACATATTTGGACAATACTTAGAAAATGCTTTTATCCAAAGCAGGTTATCATACACTCAATAAGATCTCCATGAGTAAAGTGTGATCACTAGTGATGCGCGGGTCGTCTCGTAACCCGCGGGTCGGGTTGGGGCGGGGAAATAAATTGTCACTTTATTTGCGGGGCGGGTCATACTTTTTTTTGTTTTTTTTCATGCATGTTTTTTTTTGCAATTTCCAGCCTATATTAAATATTTGGGAATATCTATTTTCATATTTTATTATTTATTCACGTGACACACGAAAGCTGCGCGCCAAGCAGCTCCCGCCGTCAGACACAACAACAACAACAACAAAACGTAGAAATAAAAAAGTGAAGATGGAAGACGAGGTGCGGGAGAAATTGAGGTCGGGAAATTACATAACTAAACGAAAAAAAGGTCAGGCTGCTAAATCTAGTGTTTGGGACCGGTTCTCTGAAATAGTTTCAGCAGAAGACAACTGCAGTATCGGCTATGTTAAGTGCAACTCCTGTGATAAAATTTACAAACACGAGAGCCACAAAACGGGCACTTCCAGCTTGTCTAGACATATTTGCGGGGGGTCAAAGAAAAAGGACGACAGTGGCACGTCTCAAAACATTACTGCTTTCCTCAAAAGTAAAGTACCAGCAAATGTCAAGTCCGAGGTCACAGACGAGACATTCATTGTGTGAATTGTGCTGTCGAGATCTGCGGCCCTTCGACATAGTATCTGAAGATGGATTTCATACCGTAGCCCAGTCTCTAATTAACATTGGTTCACGTTATGGACGTGTGGATGCCAGCAGTGTACTCCCTCACAGGCAAACTGTTTGCGACAGAGCCAAAGCGACCGCGCAAGAAAAAAAAGAAATCCTCTCAAAGAGGATAAATAAAGCTCTGGATTGTGGCATAGCTATTACCACTGTGGACTGATGAGTACAACAAACGAGCATACACGGCGTTTACTGATCACTTTTTTTAATGACGACTGGAAATTGGAGAGCCGTGTCATAAGCACAGCTGAATTTTGACTCTACTCTCAAAAAGACAGCGCACAACATCCACGAGCAAATTATTAAGGAGCTGCATGACTTTGGCATTGAACCTGCTCACAGATCAAAAGTAATATTTGTAAGTGACCAGGGCGCAAACATAAAAGCTGCCCTTCGCAGCTACAAGTGGATTCCGTGCACAGCCCATGTCATTAACATTGTTCTCAAACACACATTTGATGTAAAAGAGAACACTCCAACATACATGCGCGACGTGAGTGATGTCATTGCAAAGTGCAAAAGCCTTGTGACATACCTGAAAAAATCCGGCACTGTAGTACATCTCCCACACACCGTGACACAGGAATGCGAAACCCGATGGAACAGTAAAGTTGCGATGATGCAGTCAGTCAGTAAACAGTACCGTGAAATCCAACAGGCCTTGCAGGGGAAAGATCAGCTCCACAGAATGGATGGCATTCAGCTGGATGTGTTAAACTCAGTTTCTGAGTTTTTGTTGCCTTTTAAAACTGCGAGTGAAGAGATGGAGGGTGATACGGATCCAACTATTCAGCTGGTCGTGCTTTGGTTTTTTAAACTGAAGAAACACTGCGAGTGCGAGCCCTAATACTGTGATCCGGAGTACATGGTTCATATTCGGGCACAGGCAACTCAGCTGTTAAACGAGAAAATGTCCATCAGCATCACCCACAAGCTTGGAACGTTTTTTTGTCCCCGTTTTGAGTCCCTGAAGATGTTTCAAGCTGAGGAGAGAAACGCTGTGTACGACCAGGCCAGACCTGTCATGGAATTTGACAGTGCGCTGCTTACACCTCCAGCAAGTGTGAGGGAGACAGAGCCGATGCCCCGAGGTGAGTAGCACCAGAAAATAGATAGGCCTAAAGGCCCGGGTTTTGCGTTTTAGCTACAGTGGTCTAATGTATGTTTAAAATGTTAAATATTGTTCTATTTTATTTTTAGTTGACGAAGCCGAGCGAGTCAAAAGAAAAAGAGATGAGTTTAGTGAGTGGGAGGATGATAGTGAAGAAGTTGCTGAGAGAGACGAGGTTCAGCGCTACATTGAGGGCCAGTTCTTCTGGGATGGAGAGGACATTCTAAGCTTCTGGCAGTCGCAGTCAATCGCCTTTCCTGTGCTTACCAAGGTGGCAAAAATTATTCTCTGTATCCTGGCCACAAGCGCATCAAGCGAGCGCACATTCAGCTCTGCTGGCCGGACGCTGGAGTCTAGGCGAAATCATAGACAGTAAAAGAAATGGACAGAGCGATCTCATTGGAACTCAGTTGAGACAGTTGAAGCCCACTTTTAGCGATTTTTGTGAACTTCCGTTCCTGACGCGCAGACTCAGACCGACTCAAACTAAGCTTGATGACGTGAGCAACCTGTCTGACAGACGTGAATCTTCTAGTAGCTGTGCGTGAAAATTGCCAACGTTAATCTTGCAGAGACGGGGAACTTGAGCAAAGAGTTCTTTGGCGTGAGTGAGCAGGAGTAAGTATTCCGTTGCTTTTATGGACTCATTATCTATGGGCTTCTCCCTTGACGGGACGTGCCCCCGATTGCCTGCGAGCTTCTCCTGCTGTCTATACGGTAATTTCTGCACAGCGCGACAGAGAGTCGAGTGGTTATGACGCAATCGTTAGCTTATTTTTACTAAATCTGTTTCTACGGGGCCATAATGTAACATAGAAGGTAATGGAGCCCTTTATACATTGTCGTGTTTCTTTAGAAATAAATAATGGACAAATGGAGTCTTTAAACGCCTCAGATGTAAAGTTATTCGCTGTCAAAGTGACGCCAAAATGAATGGGATTCAATGGGAATGCTAACGCAAGTGAAGTTCTGCTACAACATGGCGGCACCCGGCGGGCTTCAACATCCGGTCGATGGATTACCCCCTTGGGCGAAATAGATTAATTGTGTATTTAAACCCCTGTGTTTCCTGTGTTCTTTGTCAGGTCTTGTCCTACATGGATGTACGGTTGGTGTGTCTCATTCTGTTCTCGGTTCCCTGGTCTGGGTTTTGTTTTTGTTTATGATCTTATTGCATTTGGATCCAAGTTCACCCTGCGTTACAATAACATTGTAGTTAAATATAATGTAGAGCAATATTGGAGATGCTGCTATAATAAACTTTTTGGTCTGGTTCTCAAGCGAGCACCTGGAGATGGTGCTTGGTACTTTGTGCCACACTTATCCTACAAGCTGCCTAAATGTAAAATACCGTAACACAATTTGTTCACTGTAGAAATTAAATATAGGATCATCTTTGTTTTTTCTTGTTTTTCCTGTTTTCTTTTTTTAAAATTTTTATTAACCCTCTGGGGTCTAAGGTGTTTTTGGGGTCCTTGAGATGTTTTGACATGCCCTGACATTTGTGCTTTTTTCAGTTGCTTATAAACATATTAATGGCACAGGTGAAATTACACTCTATTTAGCACAAACAGGGCTACCATAATATGTGAGCAACATGTATGTACATGTTTGTATTTTTGAGAGAATAATGTTTATGAAAAAAATTTAAGTTTCTAAAATAAGGCCACAAAACACATACTAAATATGTGTCCACAATACTTTTGACTAATGGAAGTTGTCGCCTAGAGTTTTTGCTTCAAAATGATCGGAAAGTCATCAGTCCTAATCATTCACATAAAACAATACATTTTGTAAGACATTTTGTTTGGAAAGGCAATATGCGTGGGGGCATGAATGATCATGAATAATGATGTGATTCACACCTGAGAAGACAATGACCTGCATAATGAGCATTTCAGTCAGGTATGTCACTGAGAGCATAGACAGTAATAAATACATAGACGCCCTATTGGCCGCTGGAGCGTACGTCAACGGCACTACCATATTGCGGAGGGTAACTTTCTCATACTTCTCATAACAAGAATTGAGAAAAATGCCTGTTTCGTGCGCTGCTTGGGGCTGTACAAATCGCCACACAATTGAAAACATGTCTCGAGGAATTACCTTTCACAAGCAAGACTGAACATTTGTTTCTGGTTGTATTTGGTCATGATATAATTAGTAATGGTAACGTTCAGAGGAGAAAAGCTATTTAAAAGAAATTTAAAAATACTACTGTTATTGTGTCACGAAATGTAGTTTTAATAGTTTTTCAGTCGTCAATGTAGTTGTTTAAAGCTCAAATGTGGCTTATTTATAAAGATAGCGCCTATTTAAAATTTTGATCTGACGTTTTCGGAGTTGTGAGATCCAGACGATCAGCGGGCGCTCAGCGCTCACGTACCCCATATTATTCACGTACACGTACCCCATAGATATTTTTTCAAATATCTGCAACAAAACAAAAACAACTTCCGTACCATACATGCACACCACTTACTGTTGGTAATATCAGTCATGAAGCTTACTAACCAGTGGCGGCCTTATGCATCTGGGGGCCCGTTTCAATAACTAATATGGGGCCCTACCCATATAAAACATAAACATAGGCTAACAGAGCAGAAAAAGCAAGGATTCCTGTTGGTTTGCATCAATGGTATATTATTTTATTACGTACACTTTCAGCTTCATGAACAGGCAGCTCAACATAGAAATCATCCAACCTTATTTGATTAAAACTATATACAATTATAAAGCGTTTTACGTTGGAATAAGCCTCGCCCTTTCACGGACGGCAACTTTTCTGCTTAATTGATTAGCGCGGTATATTTACCGTGGACAGCTGAGCTCACTGGGCGCCGGGCATAGATTTCACCCATTTCACCTGAGCTCTTTTCAGAAATCCACCCTTCTGTGTATGAGTGCTGAGAATGCCCTGATAAGTTCATCTTTGTCTGCAACTTAAAGAAGGCAAAAAGGGCAAAGGTATAAACAAATAAACTAACGTTACCGGTATTATACTTCAGATCACTTAAGCCGTTCGCGGGGGCGGCAAACGTCGCCATGGTAACTGTGAGTTCGACAAATCATAGACGTCAGTGTTATGCTTAGGA